CCCGAAAAACCCACAACGACCAATAAACATTAATGTTTATTTGGAAGTAAATTCCATTGAATTCACAATATCTGAATGAAGAGACAGGCAGAAGACTGAAATGTAAACATAGTCTGTTTCGTTTCCTGCATTGATAAAACAAGAAACCAATTTCTTACATGATATATGTGGGATCTTTAAACTACCTACCTTGACAAATAAAGTGAGTGGGGAACACACTTGCCTAAGACTTGTACAGAGCTTAGAAAATGTGCTCTGTTGACTACATCTTCCAGAATTCTCTGTGTTGCCTTGAAGAGAATGCAATTAGGTTTTCAGGTCATCAACTGTTATATTGAATTTTGATGGGTCATTAAAACTTTCTGTCATCTAAAACTTAGCTCCTCGTTATTTGTCTCTTATATTAAAAGGGGGGCTCCCCTCATATCAGTCACAAATGTTATTGTGAGTAATGTCTGCCCTTTTATGAATCTCAAAACAGGCCAACTAGTTTACTGATGGTTTACAGAACACCTCTGTGATTGCATTCAGCCATCACAACAAATGGTTTATTGTGATGAGAATAAATAAAATGGGAGCCCAGAATTCGTAGTTACTTTCTGAGAATACAGCTCCCAGAATTCCACAGCCAGGATGCCAGTATATTTTAACAAATGCTGGTCTTTAAAATCAGAAGGGTGAGAAAGAAGTACTGAAGCAGAGGAATGGAAATCCAGATATAATAAAAAACATAAAATGCAAAAGCTAGGAAAGGTTGAAATAGTTCTACTGGTATCCCATCTACTTCTGGTGAATTATCTGTTCTAATTGCTTTGAGGGTAGTTTTCAGTGCACTTTCTAAACTGCAGGTTATTAATCAAAGATTCTTCTTTGAAGGAATTTGTCATCCTTGCTTCTTTTCTATATATGTTTTAGATGTCTTTATATTATCCTGATTAGAGATTGTGATCTTTCAGTATGTGTAATCTTGGTTAAAATTTCTCTCTGATTTCTTGGATCTTATGGAAGAGATCTCTTTTTTCCCCTTTTCCTTTTCCCCCCATCCCTTTGATTTCTTTGGAATTTCCCACTGATCACACGATGTACAGCCCAACCCCAACCTGTGCCTGAACCTTTTTGATCTAGCAGCAGATCCATATGGGACCAGAGCCCCATCTTCTTTATCAGTTCCAGAACCCTTTGCGAGTGGGCAAGGCTCAGAGTGTTGCAACAGGGGTGTAAGTTCTCAGTTGTCCCTGGAGTCCCCCAACCTGGACACTTTCCCTGGCTATTCCTCCGTAGTCCCCTCTTAGGATAAAGGGGCAGAGGTGCTTGATGACATTTCACACCTAGTGATGATTTAAGACCCCTGTCTGGTATTCCGTTCTTTTCTGTTCAAGTTTTGTTCTGTAAACAACAACAGTTATTAGTAGCTAAATGAGTCCCTCCTGCCAACCTAGCAGTTCGAAAGCATGTAAAAAATACAAGTAGATAAATAGGTACCACCACGGTGGGAAGGTAACAGCATTCCGTGTCTAGTCGCGCTGGCCACGTGACCACGGAAATTGTCTACGGGCAAACACTGGCTCTACAGCCTGGAAACGGGGATGAGCACCACCCTGTAGAGTTGGACACGACTGGACTAAATGTCAAGGGGAACCTTTTTTGTTGTTTAGTCGTTCAGTCGTGTCCGACTCTCCATGACCCCATGAACCAGAGCATGCCAGGCCCTCCTGTCTTCCACTGCCTCCCGGAGTTTGATCAAATTCATGTTGGTAGCTTTGGTGATACTGTCCAACCATCTCGTCCATCTGTTGCCCTTCTCTTCTTGCCTTCACACTTTCCCAACATCAGGGTCTTTTCCAGGGAGTCTTTACCTTTACCTAAATGAGTCCCAGGTAATAGAGCAAGAGCACAAAAGACATGATTGACTTTATCTGTGGAGCTTGTTCTGTAAAGTTGGCTGTGTTTAGTTGGGAAGGAAAATGACAGCAGATAACATAATTATTGTAGAATTTCACCCTTGGTTAATATTTAATGCACGGAGATGGGTATTAAACAAATGTATATATTCTATCTGAGCTGTTTCCCTCTGAATTCTTGTTCTGTATTCCTTCTTCAGAATAGCAACTTCATGCCTTTCCTGCTATCTGATCACATCTTCAGTGGAACCACAGGGGCTGTGAACACAGGAAGTTGGCCGGCTGTGCCTGGCACCCCTCGATAAGGCTAGGAAAGCATCCTGCCGGAAACCCTTGGAGAGCAGCTGCCAGTCAGTGTTGGCATTATTGGACGTTTCAGAGCAAAGCTCTAACTGGGGTTGGGGGGGGAACAGTTCCCTGTGTTCCAAAGGCAGGCGGAATAAATATGTTCTCGGAAGGTCCTATGCACACTCAAGGTAAGCAAACGTCTCCACTGCCTGCTTTCGGAGTAAAACGCCTTGGGCGGCTGTGACTTTGCAAGGAAGATCTGATCCTGTTTCCACACACACCCCGAAGCCCTGCTTCGCTGCCACCAGAGGGCCCTGGCAGATCTGCAAAGGACGGGAGGGTATGCGCTCTCTCTCTCTCTCTCTCTTTGTCTCCGTTCGTCGGGATGCGTTTCCTGTATCAGGCGCC